GTCCGCAACCCTATTACTGCGGTCTAACCTGTAGAGTAGCGCTGCGTGATCATCAAAGGCACCTACACCAACGAGGATGACGGCGCCGACGACTTTGCCACCGTCCGGATGACCGATGCCTCTGACGAGAGCAGCTTTCCCGTCCAGTCGTGGCCTATTGCAGACGGCTTGATCAAGATGATCGTTCTTCTATCACCCGGTCTCAATAAGATCACCATCGAGCGTATTCATGGCGAGGAGCGCATCGTGCGAGTCTTGAACCTCACCTACGTCCCCCTTCTGCAGAGCCCGCCTCTCCATCTCGCCATCATGGTAGCCAAGGACTCTCCGCTTCTGATCGACTGCCCTCCCGGCAAATACGCCTCCATCTCGACCGGCCACTCCTCTATCGACGCCGCCATCGCAAAGTTCCGCATGACTGCCTACATGTGGCAGGCTCTCACCGCCGAGGACATGCGTATGAAGGGGCTCGGCCGACGGTCGTTCCGCTTCGAGGAGGAATGGGCCGCTGACACCACCAGCCGCGAATTTGTTCAAGGCGCACATGAGTCGGTCCTCCACGAGACCGGTGCCATGAGGTCTACTGCCAAGATCCACATCATCAAGAGTGACAGGACCGTTGCGGAGATCCGTGACGAGAACGTCGCGCAGCAGAACCCCAGGGCCCGGCACAAGACACGTCTGTTTGACTGGTTCCTCCAGGCCATCGATGCACATGGATCCCCGCTCGAATCGTCTGGCCGTCCCATCGTCGCCGGTCTCATTCTCGACTCCCACTTCTCTTCCCCGAAGGACATGATCCTGGGACATGCCGCCCTCGGCAGTCACCAGCCCGTCGGCGTGTCCCTCGGAATGATGGGCAGCCACCTCACCTATGCCTGGCCGCGATTCCTGGAAGAGGTCTCCAGCTGTCTCCTCGACACTCGTGTCCCCGGTACGACGGTGGGCAACGACAATGGAGAATGCAGTACCTTTTGGGAAGCCTGTGCCATTGGCCAAGGCGCATTCCTCCACGAGGTCGGCCACGCCTTTGGCGCCCCGCATACCACCGGCATCATGGCTCGGGGCTACGCTCGCCATTGGCCTCGCAACTTTGTGGTCCGCACAGCGTACTGCGGTAGCTTGAACCAGAAGGGATTCGTGGTGGTCGACGGCCAGACCGACAACTTTGCGAGATGGGACATGGGTGACGCGTTGTCTTTCCGCGTGCTGCCTCACTTTTGGCTGCCTGGTGATCAGCGCCTCAGCGTCACCGCCTGCCGCGCCGCTCCAGTACTGTCCTCAAATGAAACAGACGACGAGTTGGAGCTGGTCGTTTCGTGCGAGTCGGGGATCATCCAGATCGAGTGGAACGACGAGGAAGAACCGACCCCTTCGCTTGCCGCCCCGGCTGCCCGAGTCACATATGAAGGTACCGCTCTCAAATCGCGCTTCGATCGAGCAGTTCCTCTGAAGCTCAAGGTTCTCGGCTTCAACGGGAAGACCAGGGTTGTCCCCAACGCATGGCGTGTGTTGTCGTCGCCATCCTCAATCCGCATCCCGGGAATCCAGGCCCGCTTGCAAAAGCGATCGGTCATGACCAAGGATCTGGAGTGCGGAAAAGAGGAAAACATGGACCAGTTCTGGACCTGGGCGACACTTTTGACCCGCCGAGAGGAGGATGGCATCCATCGTGTCAGCAAGGTAGATGTGCGCACCGGCTGTTACTTGGACGGTGCCATCGTTCATTTTCCCACTGGAGATAGGGTCAACTGCGGGCCACGGGTGTCCAAGCGGGACGGAAGGCCTCATTCTTTCGGCGGTCACGCGGCCGAGTCCATCTGTATCCCTCTCGACCAGGAGATTTTCAAGGTCGAGGTCAGCCGGGAAGAGAACGTCTTGAGGGGCATGAGGCTGCATCTTACCAACGGTACAGCCGGAGGAGCTTTGTCGGGGGGCGGTGACTCTCCAGAGACGCTGAGCCTGGGTAAGCAACTGATTCTCGCAACATGACTTTTGGGCCCAGGCTGACTCGTTTTCAGAACCTCAAAGGGACGAGCGCATCGTGGGTTTCTTTGGAAGGAGTTGGTGGGGTGAACATTTTGACTGTCTGGTCGAATTCGGCATCATCACAGCGCCGAGGGACCTTGTGCTCCCTGATGTTGTCTACGATATGGAAGAGCTGCAAAACACTGATGGTGGACAAGATGTAAGCACTCCGGCAGACCATGCCTCGTGACTCGACTGACTATTGGATAGCTCAACGAGCGCAAGAGTCTGTATGGCGATGACGACAGCAGCGAGGACGAGAACTCGGGCTCGGACTCGGAGCGTAACTCGGACGATGAGGCCTGTTGAGTGAGTGCTCATGGTGGGAGAAGAACGATCTGCTTGGGTTGTTGAGGGGAAGGGGGTCGTGATTTTGAGACTCCTAATCCCTCCGAGTCAGCGGGTCGTTGTGGACGTTCGAGTTTCCGGTCGTTGCTTAGCACGAGTCCTGCTATATACGATGATGTAAGAGCCAGACTGGATACGACTCTCTCCGTAAATCGGCCGAGTCTATCCGTACCTAAATACACTTCATGTCCTCTCGGAGGAGCGAAGACATGATGAGCTGTTTTTCACCCGAACGACGAAGATTCTCTCTCCGACCGATTTTCGCAGCCAGCATCCATGCGGTGTCGTATTCTTCGAGACCGCGTTGTACCAAGTCATCAGCACCGGCGTCCAGTAAAACATTGACAGCCTCGACGCAACCGCAAGCCATGGCGATGTGGAGGGGAGTGCCCCATCGTCCGCTGCATCGGTTGATGTCGTCTTTGTTCTCTGCAATCACCCGCAGTTGTCTGGCGTTGGTGTACAGGCAGACGGCCACAGGTGTTTGGAGTGGATTCTGCTGATTACCTGGGTATAGCAGAAGAGGTCCGAGTAGACCATTTGCCTGCCATACTTACCGGCGTATTATTGCTCGAGCAGTGCCATGACGGGCGAGCAAGCGGAAGTTTGGATGAGGTTGGGGGATATATAAACTCGCGGGTGAGGAGAGAGCGTGCAGAGTGTTGAACCGAGCGAGGGTCTGGGGCCATGTCGAGTTTAACGTGAATGAAGACACCTGCCTATTAGGCAAGCGAATGGGACTTTTGCTGCAGAGATATTACATGTCTCCGTGCCGGCCATCTTGGCACAGGCAGCCGCGGTCCACACCTCAGTGGAAGGACTTTTGCACGCATGATGCGTCGTATTTGCTACAATATGACTGGAAGCATTTACCAAAGTCCCATGATAAAACCTGGCTGGGCAGTAACTTCATGCAGAAACATCACAAAAGAACCAATTTTAAGCGCGCATCCCACAACATGCGTCAATTCAAGGATCACTGGCCACACAATCGTGCACAAAGTAGCGTCGACCCAGTCGAGATGGAGAACACCGGCTTGGCGAGAATATTGACGAGTATAAAGAGGTTGTAGAAATCGATTCGGTGTGTCAACTTTACTCCAAGACAGGTCAGCCTCTGTCTCCAAGACTCGTTCGAACACTCCCTATCACTTTTCGACATGAAGCACTTCAGCATCTTGCTGAGCCTGGTTGCTGCCGCCGCTGGCGCTGCTCTCAGTCCTCGTGCTGACTCTGGTCTCACTCTGCCCCTCGGCGAAATCGGATGGGAGGGCAGCGTCACTCCTGGCGGTCCTGTCGTCAAAGTCTGGGGCGCTGATCTTGATGTACGTGAAACAAACCTCCTGCATGGCCGCCTTCTGACATTTCGCGATTAGGACATCGAGGCGAAGATCAAGAAGGATCACCCCGAATTCTCCATTTGGTTGGACGAGCCCAATGAAGCAACACCCGTGGAGTCTTCCGCGAACCCGGCCTTGGAGGTTCGGGCCGCCCTCGTAAAGCGTCTCGTGAGTTCCATCATGTCGCGCCTACGGCCCCTTGACTGACAACCTTCAAGAAGGGCAACTGCGACTCCAGATTTGGCAGGGCCGATGTCGCCTATGTCAACGACTGCATCATCAACCTGCGCAAGGTCAACGGAAACAGGTGCTCCGCCAGAGCTCGTACCTGCATTCGCACCCAGTGCGTCAGAAGTGCCGCCGTGGGCCTCTGTAATGACATTACCTACGACATTACCGTCAACTGCACCGATGTTGCCAGGATGGCCGACACCGTCAGGCTGGCCTGTAACTGGATCAGGCTTCCCTGGGTCTGCGCCCCTGGCAAATGCAACATTCAGGAGCATTGGTCACATGGTCAAGAGTTCTCCCCCGGAAACACCTGGAACGTCATCGTCGGCACGTGCGGTAAGTAGCCCCGACAGTCCAAAGTCACCGGAAGATTACTGACTTTGTGTTGAAGGCTTCTTTGGCAACGGCGAGAAGCCCGTCTAAGCGTGACTCTGGACCATGAATGGCAACAGAGTAGGTGGAACGAGGTGAGACTGCTGCCGAGTGTCGGGCAGGACATGCACCTCAGCTTCTGGGTCGAGAGGAGAAGCTCGGTGTCCGGTGAGGAGCACCGACCGCTGTGACGCGGAGGTGGGGCAACGACCGTAGGGGCTGAAGTGATCTATCTGGCGAGCAGGGCAATCAACAGACATTATCACAGTCAAAGATCCCCTCACCATCATCATATTCAAGATGTTGCCACAACTGCACCGGCCCTAGTGCTTACTGGTTAATTTCAACACAACCGGGTGATTGAACAGCACGTGTTCAACGTACCGCGGCATCACCCTCTCGGACAACATCCGTGGTGCACTGCCTTGGCTTGCAATCTGCGATGTGCCTTGCATTCCGCCCGGCTTCTTGGGCGTTCTGAATTAGCAGTCGATCTAGCGTCCAAAATGTCAGCACCAGAAGTCCAGCTAACGGTGTTCCTTGAATCCACGTGTTCTCTGCTCAGGCAGACGCTCAGTTGGTAGAAGTCTAGCAAATCTTCCGGTTGGAATGTTTACCGATACCGCTGCAGGTATTCGCGCTCCATTCATGAGCTGTTGAGAATTTCTTCTTCTCAATAGCGATCTTGTGGCGCAGCGGTAGCGCGTCTGATTCCAGCAATGGAGTTTCCAGAAGGTCATCCGTTCAATCCGGGTCAGGATCAAGCTATTCTTTTTTGCCCTTACTGCTGAGGGGAAGCTCATTACCCTCGCTCTCACCATTCCAATCACGATGTCGATATATTCTGGAGCGGGGTCTCGGGGCGTGGGCGTTCTGGGGAAGGGAACCCACAGGAGGCGGGGGCGGTGCAGCATGCCAGTGGGACCACGTGCAGCTCGAGCTTCCCCATCCGTGATTCACTCAGCGTCACAGGTGAGCCAAGCCTGAACAACAGTTGTGGTGTGGCGCAGTTTCCCTTGATCAATAAAGCCGGGCGTCATCAGCCAAGCACTCTCATCTCCCCAGACACGTTTCGTTTGTTCCACCGACATCCTCCCGCATTGCCCAATAATCCCTCGCAAACATCTGAGACCTGCAAACGTCTCTCAGACGTCCAATTGGTTTCCTTTTCCCCTCCAGCACAGGCCCAACTTCAACCTCACATCACCACCCGTCTCATCCGCCGCAATGTGCTTTGGAGGCGACGACAAGAAGGACGACACGCCCGCGCCTCGGCCCGCGCAGGCGGCCTCCCTGCGCCAGTCGCAGAACGGCAGTATTCGCAGCCGCACGAGCAAAAAGGGCGACAAGAAGCAGACGGACGATGAAAAGTACGCAGCCGCCGCTGCTGCCTCTACGCGCCAGAATGGAGAGTCTTCGTCATCCGCTCCCGCGCCTGCTCCCAACTGGAACAGCAACAACCCCTACGCTCCTCCTGCTGGACCGCCGCCGGGTCAGTCAAACTATGCTCCTCCGAGCAGTCCTCCGCCCGGTCATCAGGCGCAGCAGACGTACACTCCTCCCAGCGGTCCGCCGCCACCTCAGGGGCAGTCCCCGGAGGGCAACGACTGGTTTGCGCCTCCGTCAGGACCACCTCCGGGTCATCAGCAGGAGAGCTACGGTGCGCCTCCGGGTCCGCCGCCGGGTCACCAGGACTTCAGCGCGCCGTCCGGACCGCCGCCGGGTCATCAGGACTTCAGTGCGCCCTCGGGACCTCCTCCCGGCCACCAGGCGCAAGAGAACTACGGCGCGCCTCCCGGGCCACCTCCCGGTCACCAAGACTTCAACGCTCCCTCCGGCCCTCCCCCCGGCCACCGCGGACAAGACGACTTTGCCCCCCCTCCCGGCCCTCCTCCTCCCCAAGGCGGCAGCAGCAGCAGCAACTGGATCGCTCCCCCTCCCGGCCCTCCTCCCACAGACAACTACGGCCCTCCCCCCGGCCCTCCTCCCGCAGACAACCTCAACGCACCCCCCACCAACAACAGCACCCAACACAACTGGCAAGCCGCCATCCCCGACACGACCCTCTTCCCCCCTCCCCCCGCCCTCTTCAGCGGCCACGAGCGCTCCCACACCAACAACGCCTCCGAAGAAGAAGCCAACATGGGCGAGGCCTGGTGCCAGCAAAACCCCCTCATCCCCGCCCAGCACCTTCCCCCTCAGGCCCTGCAAGCCCTTCAAGGACACGACATCACTCTCATGATGCCTCAAGTCTACCACGGTGGTCTTGACCCCGTCCGTACTGGCGTCTGGAAGGGCGATACCGTCCCCGGATCTCGGGATAGCTGCACAATCGGCTACCCGCCCTTGTACTCCGCTGCCGCTCACTCACCCCTCGCTACAGGCCAGCCGTTCAAGATCTACTACGAAGTCCGCATTCTGCCGGACAGCAAGGCTTCAGAGGTTGATTTGGCTCTTGGCTTCACTGCCCTGCCGTACCCCAACTTCCGTCTTCCGGGATGGCATCGTGGTTCACTTGCTGTTCATGGCGATGATGGACACAAGTACATCAATGACCGGTGGGGCGGCAAGGACTTTACGGAACCTTTTGAGGTTGGAAAGACGTATGGTATTGGCATGTCTTTCTCGCCGCGCGGTGATGGCAGCATCAATGTCGATGTCTTCTTCACCCGGGAGGGAAAGCCGGCTGGAGGATGGAACTTGCATGAGGAGGCTGATGCCGTTCAAGACTTGCCCGTTACGGGTCTTGAGGGTTTCCATGACTTGACCTGCGCCATTGGCACCTTTGATCACACCAGTTTTGAGATCATCTTTGACCCGGCGCAGTGGAAGTTCAAGCCGTAAGGGGCGGAAGACCAGGGAATGAACGTGTAGAAAGTCCAGGTAATATGATAGTACATCAAGCGAATGCATCTCGTCCATCCAGTCATCATGTCATCCTCGTTTATTATACCAGCCCTCTATAGCTGGGCTGTCCCCCCTGCAGAAGCTATTTTCTCCAGGTGGGTTCTCGCGAATACAAAGCAAAATAAAGAAGCAAAACCCTCAAACGCCCCTTACTCGATCCTCTTCTTGCCCTCCTCGGCGTTAAGGAAGCGGGCGGTGCTGAGGCCGCGCTCGTGCTTGGCGACGAGGGAGCCGATCATCGCGTCCTTGCGAGCCTTGGCAATGTGCTCGAGGTAGCCTTCGCTAGCCCATGGGCGGGGGTTCAGCTTGGGCCAGTTGACCTGGGGATGTTAGTACGCGAACATGATACAAGGGGAGGGTAAACGTACGTAGAGCATGCCGTGGCCGACAATGAAGCTCGCAGACCAGCCGGCGACGAGGATCCAGAAGAGGATGAAGAGGCGGATGGTGAGAAGAGAGTCGGTCTTTGTGAAAAGGGCGACGAGCACGAGGAAGATGCTGAATGCCAGAAGGTAGGGGACCGATTGGATCAGAACAGGGCGGCGGTCGGCAAAGATGAGACCGGCGCCGCCGAGGTCAGTGTCGGCGCGGTAGGCACCGAGGAAGAGGTCGAATCCGTCCTGGCGCGGACCGTCGAAGAAGTTGTTGAGGATATAACGCGTGACGCCGACGCGACCGTCCTGGAGCATGCCGGCCTTGGTGCGGGTGCCGGTGCGGGTGACGTCGGTCTTCATGGCGCCAGTACCAGAGTAAGACTTGGAAACGACATCGGCATTGTCGGCCCACATGTTGCGGAACAGGACCTCAAAGGCTGGGTCCTCGTCACGGAAGGAGGAGCCGCGGGCCATGAGGCCGAGGTCCTCGAAGATGCGATCGAGCTTGTGGCGCGCAAAGATGGACTGGACGACGTTTGTGCGGTCCAAGCAGTCCATGCAGTTAGTGCGCATGACAGACGTCTGCAACGAGCGGGCCTCGAGACCGCCGTCGCTGGTGCCGGGCATGTCGACGGCGCGGAAGTACGACTGGCGGTCGAGGTCCTCGGCGAGCTTCTCAACGATGGCGTAGGCGCGATCCATGCGCAGACCCTTCGTCTCGTGGTGGTAGTCGAAGTAGACGTAGTGGAGGCGGTCAAACTGAGTGCGCTGCTTGTCGGGGGTGATGGTGACAAACTTCTCATCAGTGATGCGGTCGCCCTCAGTGCGCTCCTGTGCGCCCGAGGTGATGAGCTCGACAATCTTCTCGTACGAGTTCTTGATGCTGCGCTCGCGACCAGTCTGGTTGACCAAGTTGATGAGGTAGTTGTCGCCGTACAGGCGGATCTGCTCCTCAAAGTGGAGGCGGGCCGCGTGAACAGCCGCCTCGACGCCACGGACCTGGATCTTGGGGGTGTACTTGAGGCTGTTGATCTCGGCCCAGAAAGAGGGCACGCTGCCGCGGGTCTGGACGTAGGACATGATCTGCATCTCGGCGCCAGCAGCGCCGCCGAGCTTGCCACTCTGCATGTCGGAGCTACCGGCGAAGCCGCCCAGGCCACTGGCAGCGTCATTGGTGATGACAACCTGCTCAGTCTCATTGTAGTTGGCGGCATGGCCCTCATCGTCGAGACCGCGGGTGAAGTATCGGGTGCCGCCACGGAAGCGCGAGCGGCGGGAGATGAGGACAATGGTCAGGGGGGTGCCCTTGAAACTGGTCGGACGGATCTCGAGCACGCCGAAGATGACGGGCAGAATGAAGGGATCGGCGCCAGGCTGGGGGCCGAACTGGCTGCGGGCGCCCCTGGTACGGAAGTCGATGAGCTCGGACTGAAGGTGCCTGTTGAAGAAGAACCTGTCATCGGCGCGCTGCCAGAGCGGAAGAGAGGCGTCGGATTGCGACTGGCGCTGGAACGAGTTTGTAAGGTCGATCGAGTAGGAGAAGTACATCGGGCCATTCTTGAGGAAGGTCTCGAGGAGGCTGATGAAGGTGTCCTCGTCGGGATCGCGGATCTGGCGCTCGCGCATGGGGAGGATCTCGGTTGTAATGACCTTGTAGATCATGTGGCCGCGAAGGCGACCGACGGGCTGGGCCTTGGTGATGACGATGATGTATTTGTCTGAGAAGGAAGTCAGATTATGGGGAGCATCGGATTGCAGAGCAAGAGAGGCTGACCAAGTCTCAGCTGGATGATGCCGAGAATGCCCGCAATGCTGGAGACTCGGGAAGCCCGCTTGCCGGTGCCAGCATCGCCCAGACGAAGGTCGCCCGTGGGACGGTCGATGACCAGAGCGGGAGCATCGGGAGACGAAGGCGAGGTGAAGATGTATGAGTCTGTGGCGAATTTGACGTTGATGTCGCGGTAGGGGAGAGTCGGCGCCATGGTGGGCTGGCGGGGAAGGTCGAAACCTGAGGCTGACGACAGAGCTCGAGTCGATCGAGGGGGAGAGGAAGAAGACGAAGGAAATAGACGCTTGATGAAGCTGTATCTGACAGAGCGACAGAAGACAATGAAGAGCTCCCGATGCAGGGGCAGCTGTGGTGGAAGGGAGGGCGAAGCGTTGTGGATGGGAGGACAGAAAAAAGGAAGCCGATTTCTAAAAGTCGTCACTGTCGTCACAGGCGCGTGGCGGCAACAGCTCGAAACCCAGCAACCAGAAGAAGGGAAGGCTCGGGAGTGGAGGGAATGTGTGGGCAGGAGACCCTGGGCGTGGGCTTAGCGCTGGGCTCGAGCTTCGTTCTCTGTGGGCACGACGCTCGGACCAGATCGCCCGCCCTAGGCCTCTATCGGGGTGAGAGCATCACGTGCTGCATAACCCCGATGGAGTGGTCGGTCTTTGTAAGTGAGTGAGTGACGAAAGCCCGAGGCGGACTCTGATGAGG